GACTCTCCCCTCCTCCACATAAAAGGCCTCCTTTATGACTAAAATTGACATTAATTACACTGAAAACTCTGAATACTTTTGAGTTTCTATAATACAGGTAGACTTGTTTTTTAAATCAGTCTTTTGTAGCACTGAATTGGATCTTGTTACTTTATTAGAAGTCAGTCTTTTGGGAAGATAGCTGAGTGGTGAGCAGCACCAAAACAACCTCTTCAAGATCTGGAGTTCAAATGCTAGAATACAACAATATGGGGAAGAGAAGAAAGAGAGAAGGGGTCCACAGGATCCAGAAAGGATCTGAAGCAAGAACTGGAGCCTATAGGGGAGAACAAGAAGAGGGATCTCGATGAGGAAGAGGAAGGTAGCAAATGGTGCTTTATCCTGGAATCCCAGCCCACAGCATGAGAGAGGTGGCTTGAACCTAATGAGAAATGGTGACTAGAAGTGACTTCAGAGGCCTCCAGGGAGAAATGCACCAGTGGAATGGAGCAATGGGTGTTGTGGGCTGCAGTGGTTAGTGAGTGATTCCAGTTGAGATGTCCCCAGGAGAGGGTGACTGGCTGGTCGCCATTTTCAAAAGGGGCCAGCTGAACCTGGGACTCAGAGCAGCAGTGGGTTGGTTCCATCTATCTGCTCCTAGTGTCAAGGTGAGAAACAGCCATGCTAAACACCTAGAGTCAGGGAGCCGAATTCAAGCCTCCAAGTGGCACCCAGAGAGTTGTGTGCTGAACAAGGTGGGTCCCAGCCTCACAGCCAGAAACCAGGATTAGCATGAAATTCAATGGACTTGATAGCACAGGCTTGCTGGGATTATCTACCAACTCGTCTTAATTCTACTGCAGGTTTGCAGGGTCAACGAACACAAATCTGGGCTCTGTCTGCCCACTTGATCTACTGTGACAGCACAAATATACCTTCAAGTAGAAATTCTTTTCTTGATTGTTCGTTCTTGTTTTTATATGAGTGTGAACATTGTTTCTAGTTTTTGATGTTGTTTTGCTCTATTCTTTCCTTCTTCCCTTCTCTTGTCTTTTTCACCAGTTTCCCAAAGTTTGTGTAATGTTCCTTTGTCCTTCAGCCTTGTTTTTAATCTCTTTGTTTTTCTCTATCTTTATTTTTTCCTCTTACCCCTTTTAAATTTTCTCCCCCGAGGGTAAAATCACTCCACTGAGGGGATACTTACTGTATAAAACTTTCTAATTTGTTTTAAATTTTATTGCATAACTACAAGTCTTGTTCATATGGTTAAAGGTGCCAAATTAATAGGTAGCACAGTTTGTCATTTTCTAGGCTGTTCTTGATGCTATTGTTATTACTGATTGTACTACTTTACCCAAAGTGACATAGTTGTTCTAATCAGTTGTTCTTCCTTGTATGCCAAGACTGAGACTGCCTGGGAGTTATAAAAAATATTATTGGCCAGTATCAAAGAGCCAGAGTCTAGGCCAAATAAGCAGCAACTTCTGAGCCCTAATAAACTGAACAGGTAGGATCTCACAATAGACTCAAAATCCAAAAACCAGCTACCCCTGAAAGACATCTCTGAGGGGTAGTCATTTCCTAAGGAGTTCTCAGTAATGAGTAATAAAGCTACCTACCATAAGTAATTTACAAGCATCAACACAGAAGTTAAACTAAAAAAAAAAAAGAAAGAAAGAAATAGAAAATGAGAAGACATGGAAGCAAGATGCAACCCCCAGACTGCCAGCTCACCCAGGGCAAACCCAGGGGTAAAAAGGTGGAATGATTCAAAAGCCACCAAACCCAAACTCTCTGAAATGGTAACAGTAGAAGTAACACAGCAGACAAATGAGGCTCTAGAAAAAAAATCAAATTAGAAATAATTTCTCAGATAAATAAAGAGATGAGGGGCCAGTGGTGCCACTTCTGCCTTGCAAGTGCAAGGTCCTGAGTTCAATTCCTGGTACCAAAAAAAAAAAAAAAAAGAGAAGAAGGCCATAGTGAAGGACATGGTTAGTGAATCTAGAAAAGATACAGATAATAAAATAGAGGAGTTCAAGAAAATGATGGAAACCATGAATGCCCATCATAGGAAAGAAATGGAATCCATGAAACAGATTCAATCAGATATCCAGGAGATTAAGAATTCTATTGAAAGTATATGCAGCAGAATGAACCAATGTGAGGATAGAATATCAGATCTAGAAGACAGGTTTGTAATTAGTGACGATGAAAAGAAAGATGTCTTAAAAACAGCAAGGGACAATGAAAAATCAATCCAACAGCTGCTACATGATGCGAAGAAGAATAATATAAGTTTGATTGGAGTCAATGAAAAAGCAGGAGATAGAGCAAATGACATAAAAACCTGTTCACAGAAGTAATGGCACACAACTTCTCAAGCATGGAAAAAGAATTTGACATACAGATAAGTGAAGCATATTGAACTGCAATTAGCCATGATCAAAAAATAAAATCTACACAAAGACATGTAACAGTCAAAATTCCAGAAATTCAACATAAGAACAGAATATTAAAAAGTTAGACAAAACAAACAAATCACCTATTAAAGAAAGCCCATTAGAATCATAGTAGACTTCTCAACACAAATCCTTGAGTCAAGGAGAGCTTACAGCGAAGTATTTCAGGTCCAAAAGAAAACAATCTCCAATCCAGGGTGATATACCTTGCAAAACTATCTTTCAAAATTGATGGAGAGGGCTGGGGATTTAGCTCAGTGGTTTTGCTGCCTGCTGCGCAAGTGCAAGGACCCAAGTTCGATCCCCGGTACCAAAAAATAAAAAACCAAAATTGATGGAGAAATAAGATATTTTCGTGAGAAGAACATCTTAAGAAATTCACAACCACCAAACCAGCACTTGAAAATGTTCTGAAGGATATTCTAAAGAGAGATAACAAAGACTACAATTCCACGAACTCAACAGAATGAATCCACCAGGCAAGGTAAGCCACAAATCTACATTAAAACCAATGATAAATAACATTAGTTATTACTTGAAATTTATGAAATATCAATCAGTCAGCCATTACATACAGTGTAACTCCCACTTTGCTGGGCTAGCCATCTGAAAACTCCTAAGGCTACACAACTTTCTTAACCTTTCCTACTGATATCATTTCCTGAACTTGTTCTCATGAGCCTTGTGAACATGACTCCATCACCATGCTCAATTTCTCAAGTCTCCGATTTATCTTAAGGTTCATATTTCAGACCATTATCTTGATCATGTTTTTACATGGTAAGACAATGAATGTAAAGGTGGGGAATTATCTTTTTTAGATAATAATGCTACCACTTTTTTCTCTTAAGCCTTAAAAAAATGTATCTTTAATGCTAGTGGAATTTGCCTTATTATACTCTTATATCAAGGATGATATTGAGATACAAAGTACTCTATGAAAACCACACTAACATGAAAGAGCAATGAGATTCCACTAATAAATACTGATGGACTTAGTATGAAGAACTATGAAACTAAATGAGTGATTCATAGGAAGGTCAACATATTTAGCTAGGAAAAAATTAACCAGATCAATAGGTTTCGATAACATATTTAATTTCTTCCTCCATTAAACCAAACAAATCACACAAGTAAGGAATTTACATTGCTATCTGGCATTTTTTTACACTCTATATACTAAAAATTCCTAATACTGAGCTGGTAGAATTTGCCTTGAGTTTGCAGATCAAAACTCATACCTCACTGACCAGCAACATCATCTTTATTCCTCTTATATATCATCTTTAATTTTTTGGTAAAAAAATATTCCCACAATTTACATATACATAAGTACATAAGAATATAAGCATGGAACTTCCTATTTTCACAGTCATACTTCTTTTACCAGAAAAAAATGCTTTCTTATACATCAGACAAATAAGATTATACTTCTGCTGAATGAATTTTGTTACAGAAATGATGTAGAAGTTTGTATTTTTACGAAAACAGATACAGGGGTCGGGGATGTAGCTCATTGGCACTATGACTGCCTAGCAAGCACAAAGTCCTGAGTTCGATCCCTGGTACCAGGAAAAAAAAAGAAAAAAGAAAACAGATACAGGCATAAGTATTCTTTAACTCAGTCAAAGAATAAGTAGAGGATATACTCAAGGGAAGAAGTCAGCAACTAAGGAAAGGGCAGAAATCCTTCAGAATCAAAATTTGTATTACACTTGGAGGCTGAAGTTGATCCGACAGCTTTGGCAATGGAACCCACAGACAGACCGACTGACTCACAGTTTGACAACTGCCAACATGAATGCTGGGAGGGTTGCCAAAGAGCCAAAGGCTGGGATTACCATCCAATGCCTGGCACTATGATATTCGTATTTGAAGTGTTCTCTCTTATACTTCATCCAATATTTTTGTTTGGCTCAAAAGTATCAAGGATTCACGTATTTTTTTTGATCATTAAATGTTCTTATTTTCAAGAAATATAACATTAGTTGTAAAAGAGTATACTTTTTCTCTGAAGTGTAAAGAAATTTTTGATGAATTTTGTTACATTCAAATAGAAAAATCAATGTTAAAAGTCTGTTTAAATTTTATTAGGTTATTCAATCTGAAAAATAGGAAATACATATTCATAATATGAAAGAATTCAATGTTTCATTGTATCATAAACTCTTATAGACTTGGTGTTTTGTATGGATCTACTTTTTTGATCTTCATATGGCTTCCAAGGCTCTATCTGAATAAAAGTTATTCCCAGTGAGAAGTACAGTAATGATAAAGTTTGGCTATAAGAGGAGGTAGTTGCTCAACTCTTTCCTTGAGTTATGAAGAAGACAGGAGGGCAGAACAACCTTTCCAAGGGACAAGAGATGTGTGTTCCAGTTTCTCATGGCAATGTCCACTTAATTTGCTTGATGAGTCACTGGCTAATGAGGTTTCTGATTTTGGGTCTACAACTTAGACAAATTCTGTCATTAGGCAACTCATATGACATTAGGCAAATTCCATATCAGGAATTCTTACCCAGCTTAATATTGTGCATATCTTATTGGAAAAGCTTACCTTTGGGTCTCTAAGGAACAGAGCCTTAAGAATCAGTGAGTGTATATCCCCGATGACTGGGTAATGCATCAGAAGGCCAAGACAGGTCTGGTAGTTACTAGAGATCACTAAATGAGAGGGGAAAAATAATTCAGATACAATACTGCTTAAGATATTTTGCACTACTGAAAATACAAAAATAACTTTCAGTCAAAGAAAATAAACTAAAAATGCAACCTCTTTGATAAAATAAGGAGGAGGAATCCTTACAAATGGCTTTTGAAGCGGCATACTGCACAGTTAACTACAATCTAATAACACTAGTACTTATTCTCAGGGGATGTTGGAAGGAAGAGCTTCAGATAAAATTATGTATGTATTTTTTGTGATATAAATAAAATATCAGAAGCAAGCATATTTATTGCCATTTATATGGCTATGTTTAAATGTCTTCAGTTTTTCTGCTTAAAAATTATTAACAAAATCCTTATGAATGGGAAAGAATCAGTTTATTCTCATAAAATAATATTTACCTTGGTTGTGCTTAACAATCTATGCTTATTAACTTACATGGATATTGATGCAAAATTAAAGAAAACATAATTTCTTCCAATTATCTATCTTTTAAAAGATAATAAAGAATTTTTAAAGAGAATATCTATAAAGAATGTCTTGGAGAAAAATCAAACTCTTTATAGATAGGTCTGTGTTCCACAGACTGTCATTTAAATTTTTTCAAATCAACCCAATTATGAATGCAATTATTAAGCACATCTTTTTAGGCAGGTCTATGTAAACTACTTTATTTTTTGGCAATCTACCTGCCACTGCTGTCACAGTTGGGCCCATTAGTGCTACCTGTTTTGTGAGACATCCCAAATGTCTCACAGCACTGATTATGAAGGAACTTTCAGTTACAACTTCCTGTAGTAATAACTGAATCTTTTTCATTAGTTACTTGAAAAATGTTCCACAGGAAAAAAAACTGATAAAAAACAATGCAAATCAAAATATAAATAATTATTTGTAATCATAAAATACCCTTGACTCTTACATTTTTCGCCCCTTGTTCCCTTGAGCAATATGGAGAAGAGAGACAGGACTGGGCAAAATGAATAATTATAATCTATGTAAAGAACCACTTTATCATTTTCATTTCTGTTGCTGATCTGACAGCTTCTAATTTCATACATCTGCTTTCATTTGTAAAGCACTCACTTATTTTACCCTTTCTATATCTGTTCAGACATTTATTTGTTCATTTTTCCACATTCACACTGTTACCTGTTGTTCTTTTTTTCTCTAGACATCCAAAAACTAGGATAGAATGGTATGCTGTTTTCTTGTACAGTTTTCTTTGAGAGCTAACAAGTAAATACAACTAATTCGTCATATAACTCAAGAAGTCATTTTCCAAAATACTATAGTGACAATATATATTAATACCTGGCCAGGGAAGAATTGTTAAATGTTTTTTAAGAGGAGTGGAAGAATTTTGTGGATAGAGTTCTGGCCTCGGTGGTATAAGAAATGTGTTTGAATCCCAGAACCCCATTTGAGCTTTTCATAAAGTTGCCTAAATGATATAAGTGACTGATTTATAGCAGCTGCTCAAAACCTGTTTGCACAACCTTTGTGAGCTTCAGTTTACTCTTTTTTAAAAAAAAAAATTTTATTCTTTTATTGGTACATTTTAGGTGTACAATACATTAACATTTATCATTGGGTACTTGTACCTGTACATGCTGTATCTTGGTTATTTTTTTCCCCATTACCTGTGCACCCTTCACACCCTCCACCCTTCCCTATTTACATAGATTTTGTTTCCAAAAAACATTTTTTTTCCATTTTTTTTGTTGTCTCATAATTTTTCCTTTCCTCTTCCCCTCCCATCAACCTACACCTCTGGATCTTTTCCTATCTCAAATTATCAATTATTCATTTTAATCATTTTAATCCTTATTTGAATTTTCAGTTTCCCACACTAGAGAAACTATTTGGTATTTACACATGTGTGTCCTATTTATTTCACTTAAGAGTATGGCCTCAATATGCATCCATTTAGCTATAAATGTCTCTAGTTTCTCGTTCTTTATGGCTGAGTAGTACTCTATTTTATAAAAAAACCCACATCTTCTTTATCCAGTTTCCAATTGATGGGCACTTGGGCTGTTTCCAAGCTTTCAGTATTACAAACTGTGCCGCAATAAACATGGGTCCACATATATTGCTGTGGTATGATTCTTTCAATTCTTTGGGGCAGATACCTAGCAGGGGAATAGCTGGGTCAAATGGGACCTCTAGTCCTAGTTCTTTGAGGTATCTCCATACTGATTTCCACAGTGGTTGCACCAGCCTGCACTCCCACCAACAATGGAGAAGGGTTCCTTTCTCCCCACACCTCTGCCAGCATTTGTTATTTGTTGATTTCTTGATAGCAGCCATTCTTTCTGGGGTGAGGTGGAATCTCAGTGTTGTTTTCATCTGCATCTCTCGAATGACCAGTGATGTTGAGCATTTTTTCATATATCTGTTTGCTGCTTTTACTTCTTTGTCTGAAAAATGTCTCTTCATTTCAGATGCCCATTTCTGAATTGGGTCTTTTTGAATTTGGGGGGGGGGTCTGATTTTTTTTTAGTTCTTTATATATTCTAGATAGTAGACCTTTGTCTGAGGTACAGCTGCTAAAATTTTTTTTCCACATTGTAGGCTGTCTCTTAGCTCTGTTGGTGGTTTCTCTTGCAGTGAAGAAGCTTTTTAATAAGATGAGATCCTAGTTGATGATTCTTTGCGCTACTTCCCGTGCTACTGAGGTTTTGTTCATAAAGTCTTTTCCTATGCCAATGTCTTCAAGAATTCTACCTAACTTATCTTCCAGCAAGTTTAGTGCTTCTGTCTTAATATTTAGATTTTTAATCCACTTTGATCTTAGTTTAGTGCATGGTGATAGGTATGGGTCTAGTTTTAATCTTTGGCAGGTTGAAACCCAGTTTTCCCAACACCATTTATTAAAGAGGCTATCTTTCCTCCAATGAGGGTGGTTGGCTCCTTTGTCAAAGATGAGGTGGCTGAGTATGTCTGGAATTGTTTCTGCGTCTTCTAATCTATTCCACTGACAGTTTACTCTTTTGGAAAACAACTTTCTGATTTAAAAAACTGTCTGTTTCATTCAATCTAGTAATTATTTGCTGAGTACCTACTTCATGAGAAGCTCTGAGGTAAGAGAAGATGTAGAGATGAACAAAACAAAGTCCCTGCTTTGAAGAAAATCGGTGTACAGCAGGGCGGAGATGCTACAGTAAGCAGCTTTACTACCATTTCCACTAAGATGACAATGAATTACTGAAGGCTTCTGGAGGCAGGTAACTTAGGCTAAGAAGTTTATATTATCTCATTTAATTTCTATGACAATCTTATAAAGGTACAATTATTATTCATATTTCACACAGGTGACATTTGATAGTTGGAGAGATGAAGTCATTTGCTCAAAGCACATACAGTGATTTCTGTTGGAGTAGGATTTGAAATTAAGAAATCTAGCTTCACAAGAGGTACTCTATAAATACAAGGTTTTGTTTTGAAAGAACACTGTTTAGCAAATCAAGAAACATAACAGATACAAATGTCAGCAGTAGAGTCACTTGGTATCATTAATATTTTGTGACAGTTTAAAGTAGCTTAGAAGGCTAGTATAACCCAGTATATAGAACAGCCTGAGAGAGACAGAATTTTATTTGGAGGGACCAGAGCAACAATACTCTGTTATTAAATGTGTGAATTTAGGCAAGCTGATTACTTATCCTGACACTTTATCTTTCCATTTATAAAACAGAGACTGTGGAAGCTGTCAGTATTAAAATGGAGTCATGTCACACTGTAACAAACTGCAGCTGAAAGGGCCCAGAGAAGGACCCTCTTGCATGTTTACCTATAACAGAACTTCCACTAAGAGCTTTCCCAAAAAAACTTTCCAGTTAAGCCACTTCTATGAAGACCTTCTCTCATCAACAGCCAGTACTACCGAAGAACCAGCACCACTGCCTTTGCTAAGTAAGTCCTGTAGCCAAGGTCTTTGTTTCAAAACAGTCTAAATGGACTTCTCTTTTTCACCTTTAAAAGTTTCCCCTTGTTACAATCCCTTCTATGCTCCTATGGTCTGCCATAGCATGAATATCTCAGGTTGCAATCCTTGTTATTTTTTAATAAACTCTGTTTTTGGAGAGTCAGTCTTTTTGCTGCTCATGTTTGGTTGACAAAACGATAATGCTTACTTTACCCTATAATTTCTGTGAAGATGACAAAGGTGCTAGGTGATACATTTCCTTATCTTGATTAATTCTTTGTTGGTGAGTATTCCTATCTCTACTTAAGAGGCCTACACCTACTCTGAAGTAGTCCAAGGGAGTTAGTTTAATAGTTTCCTGAGTAGAACCAATTTAAAAAAATAGTTAAAATCAGTATAAATAAGCAGAGCCTGTGATCAGAAAAAGTTTAAAGTAACGTGAGTTAAAATAAAGATAGCTATCACTTATTAAGCACCTGTAGCAGAGATGGTGAACTTTTTGGAGATGAGTGCCCAAACTGAAATCCAAAACCCATTTGTTTATCACAAAGTGACAAGACTGAATTAAAACTGAATGCTGAGGTTTTAGTTTAGAAAAAACTCATACATTAACATCTTTTGTTTCAAACGAAAGACAAACAACATGGGTGCCATAGGTTCACCACCACGGACCTATAGTATGTCTGGCAACTTGCCATATATTTTATAAAGATTCTCATGAATCTTCCTAATCCCCTCTAAGAAAATCATTATTATTACCTCCCTATTACAGATGAGGACATGGTAATGCTGAGTGGATAAACAACATGAACAAGGCTGTTGGGCACCTAAAGGGCAGAGAAGGGGTTGAATCCAAAATTGTGTAAGTGAAAGCCCAGATCTTTATCCCTGTATCTTATATATTCCTTCATTCCTAGCAGAACGTCACAACCAGTGCATCTGCATACATAAGTCAAGGTAGATACACTGAAGATGGCTTCTGCACATCAACTATGTTATAAACAGAGAATCCTTAAATATACACTATAAAATGTCCTCAGCATATAAAACCTAGAATAGCAAATA